ATAACTGAAGGTGGGTGGTGTAGACTGAAGTTAGGGTGGTGCAGACTGAAGATGAGGTGGTGTAACTGAAGGTGATGTGGTGTAACTGAAGGTGGGATGGTGTAGTCTGAAGGTGAGGTGTAGACTGAAGGTGAGGTGTAGACTGAAGGTGAGGTGTGTAACTGAAGGTGAGGTGTAGACTGAAGGTGAGGTGTGTAACTGAAGGTGAGGTGGTGTAGACTGAAGGTGAGGTGTGTAACTGAAGGTGAGATGGTGTAGACTGAAGGTAATGTGGTGTAACTGAAGGTGGGGTGGTATAACTGAAGGTGGGTGGTGTAGACTGAAGGTGAGGTGTGTGACTGAAGGTGAGGTGGTGTAACTGAAGGTGGATGGCATAGACTGAATGGGATGTGATGTAACTGAAGGTGAGTTGTGTAACTGAAGGTGAGGTGGTGCAGACTGAAGATGAGGTGTGTGAATTGAAGGTGAGGTGGTGTAACGGAAGGTGGGGTGGTGTAGACTGAAGGTAGCATGGCAGTGTGGGCACAGTGGAAATGCGTCCTCTTTGCTTCCAAGCACATTTGGAGTTTGTTTTGCCGAGTGCTTTACAGATATTATCATTTAACTTTTATTCGATGACCCTGAGAGGATCATGTGTGAGGAGATGTGAAGCGGAAGGCTGCCATGCTGCTGCTGTGCTTTTGCTCCCTTTGGTTCCAGCTGTGATGGAAACTCTTGTGTCAGTTGGTTTTTACTGCGTAGCAAGCTCTCCAAAGCATAAAGGCTCAAGTCAGGGTCCACTTCATGGTCGCACGTAGTCAGTGATCCTGGACTTTGCCCTTTTTTGGTTCTTGGGCCAATGCACATACTGCAGTCACCTGGTGGTGAGTGAGCAGGCTGAAGATGGCCAGGCCTCTAGAGGCCACTGTGCTGTGGTCACAGACTGTTCAGCAGGCCACCACAGGTAAATGCTTACTCATCTGGGGTTCCAAGATGAATAAGGGAGCAGATGGACTTGGTTAGGTCACATCTGGCCACAGGTGGATTTGGTGCTTGTCAGCTAGCTGGGAAGAGTCTGTACCATTTGCAGTCCACCCAACTTGTTTGTGGGGACATACTTGCAGGCAGACCGACATCCCCTCAGGGGCAGCAGGGAGTTGCAGGGTTGCCAGAAAAGTCTCTGATTCTATGGTTGGGACACTGCCCAGCAGTCTTAATGAGGGTAGACAGCCTGGCTCTTCTGACTGCACAGTCCTTATCTGTGCTGGTGGCAGGTGTGAGGCCTGGTTTTCTGCCTCTCATCCAGTGGCCCCTACGGGTGTGCACTTCCATCATACAGAAAGGGTGATGGCTTAAGGCCTTTATTTCAGCTCTTACTCATTACTTGTGGAATTATGAAAGGCAACCCCCCCCCCGAAATCCAAGTTAAGCACTTGCAATGAGAAGACATTGCTCCCAAACTAAACAGTGTAAAATAACATGTATGCTTAAAAATATTGTCATGTCAGTTCTGACTCATTGGAACCCTGTGTACAGAAATAAAAATCTTATCTACTCTAGAGCCATCCTCACAAACTGAAGCCCATTGTTGTAGTCACTGTTAGTCTATCTTGTTGAAGGTCTTCCTCTTCTCTGACCTTTCACCTTTCCAAATCTTTTTCCAAAGACTGGCCCCTCCTGACAACATGCCTAAAGTGTGTGAGATGATGTCTCACCATTCTTACCACCAAGGATCCCCTTGTAGCACTACTTCCAAAAAAAAAAATAATCTTTTAAATCCTCCAGAAGTCTATATGCACAAAATTTAATAGTTTGCTAGTGCTGTTGGCCAGCCAGCCCTAAGGACATTGCTATTGTGCTAAGTTCTGAACAGAAAGCACCGGTGTGTATAGTTGCGGGAGGTGACAGAGCTGTGTACAGGTATGGGGGCAATAGGGTGGAAGAGGTGTGTAAAGGTATGGGGGCAGTGGGGTGGCAGAGCTGTTACAGGTGTGGGGGCAATGGGGTGACAGAGGTGTACAGGTGGGAGCTGTAGTGTCAGCAGGTGTAGGGGTGATGGCGTGACAGAATGTGTACAGGTGTGGGAGGCAGCAGAGGGAGTACTAGGTAGTCATTTCACTATGGGAGTAGGTGGCATTTTGTCTCATTGTAAGAAGTGGACTGTCCAAGTGCATTTTGTATTTCATACCTGTTGGCAGGCTCAGAAGAGGGAGCATAGGTGAGGGACAGTGTACAAAGCAGCCTGGAGATGTGCTGGGCATTTTTGGCCATCAGCAAGTGTTCCAGAGTGGTGTAAGATGACTGCAGTTTAGAGACAGTAGCTTGGTTCAGTACAGACACAATAAAGAAGTGAGGGAGGGACAGGGAGCCAGCTGCTAGTGCCCGGTGTTGGGGTCTGGGAGCAGCATGGTTTCAAAAACAAATAGGGTTTTGTTTAACGTAGATGGCATTTAATGTTTTGAAATAAAAAGACTAGAAAGATAAATCCTGTCTTCTGTAACCATAATTTGATAATGATTCAGACCATTTTAAAAAGATCTATAATTTCAAATGATGTTTTACTTTGTTAATGATGCAGCTTTATTTTGCTTTTGACCTACTGCTGTTGCCTCCGTCCCGACTCACAGTGACCCTCTAAGACTAGGTGAACAGCCACATGGTTTCCAGGCCTTCCGTCTTTCTGGAAGCAGAGAGCCTCATTCATCATCCGTTGAGCTGTTAGTGGATTCAAACTGCTGGCCTTTGAGTTGGCAGCTGAGTACACTAGCCACCATTTTCCCCCAGGGCAGTGGAGACTGTTGCAGATGAGGCCTGTCCCACAGGGTGATCTGTAGAGGCCCATCTCAGAGTCCAGGCTGGCAGTGGTTGAGGTGCAGTGAAGGGGTGTCTTGCTGTAGGGGTATTCAGGGTGCACTAAGTGCTCATGTGAGAGAGGTGGCAACTATAAGGGAAGTTCTGGTTATCATTCACCAAGCAGGAACAGTGGTAGGGGCTGGGAAGCAGGGCAATGTGAGATGTCTTGAGTCTGACTTTTTGATGCTGCGTTCTGAGAGATGTCTTAGAAAGTGGCTGGTGTCTGCTCAGGGCAGTGCTCACCCCTGAGGCTGTGGGCTTGGGAGTAGTACTGTCATGTGGAGGGATGTCCTGGTCAGTGCACTACGTGGGAGATGGTCCTGGTTGAGTATAGCCAAAGATTGATTGGTTGAGTGTTTAGGGCTGTCACGTGAGGAAAGCCTGTCAGCCAGGGTATGTCCTGGGCCACTGGGCAGGGGTGCTGGCCTGGGGGCCCCGAGTGGTGATCTTTGTGAGGTTTTTCCCCTCTGGGGCCCCTGGGTGGTGCACGCTTTCATGGGGCTGGACCCAGGCTTTGTAAGCTTGCGCACCTCCTTGTCTGGGAGTTGTGACCCTGCTGCCTGTCTTGCAGCTCTGTGAGCCATCACCATGTTCTGGAAGTTTGACTTGAACACCACCTCACATGTTGACAAGCTGCTGGACAAGGAGGATGTGACGCTGCAGGAGCTGATGGATGAGGATGACCTCCTACAGGAGTGCAAAGCACAGAACCGGAAGCTGCTGGACTTCCTATGCCGGCAGCAGTGCATGGAGGAGCTGGTGAGCCTCATCACGCAGGACCCGCCCCAGGACATGGAAGAGAAGGTCCGCTTCAAGTATGTACTGCTGCCATGCCAGGCAGGCCACATGTCACAGGGCAGAGCCACAGGCAGGCAGCAGGCTCTCTGGGAACAGCAAGCCACAAGGGTTTTCCGATTGAGAAGCTGGCCTTAGACTAAGGTGACTCATGCCAAGAAGAGTTTGATGGTTTGGTAGGGTGGGGAGAGGGCAGCAGTGGGGAAATGCCATCTCCATGGGAAGGTGTCCTATAAGTGGGCACACAGTTGGCAGTTGGTGTGAACTGTGAATGGCACTTCCTGTTCATACTAAGGTGACCAGGCAGCAACTGGGGTCAGGGAAAGAGCTAAGAAGTCTCTCTGTAGTGACTAAAATTGGTTAAGCAAAAAGGAACCTGTATATACATACTAAACAAGGTGGTTAGCAAAGAAAGTAGGTAAGAAAACGAGTAGCTTGTATCCTGTTGAGGCTGTGGATTGGGAGTAATAAAGTGTGGTGGGCTAGAGGCTGCTTTTCACAAGAGCTCTTCTGTACTAATTGACTGTGTAAAGCTTGTGTGAGTATTATTCTTACTTTAAAAATCAGTTTTTTGAGATAAGGAGATCGATGAATGGATAGGTGTATAAAGAGTACATGGATGGGATGGTGACTAGGTAGAAGGATGGACAGAATCATCAGTGGCTGGATGGGTGAGCAGGTGAACAGGTGGTAGGTGTCTGGGTGGATGGATACATGGAAGGATGAATAGAATGAAGGGTTGATAGGTAGATGGACGAGCAGGTGAAGTAGGTGGTAGTGTCTGCATCGAGGGATTGATACGTGGAAGGTTGGATGAATAATTGATGGCTGGATGGGTGAACGGATGAACAGGTGGACGTGTCTGGATGGATGGAATTGTGTCTGGATGGGTGGATAGAATGGAATGGTGAATGGAAAGATGGATGGTAGATGGACTGAATGCCTAGAATGGTGGATGAATAGAGTGGTGGCTAGATGGATTAATGGGTGTTGTTATTGTTTACCATTGAGTTGGAATTGACCATAGCTGACCCTCCAGTGGGTTTTCAGAGACAGTAAATAACATGGGAGGAGATTGTCTGTCCTTCTACAGAGCAGCTAGTGGATTGTAACTCCGTGCCTTTGGGATTGCAGTGCAGCTTCTTACCCCTAGGTCACTGAAATATGGGTGGGATAGAAGGATAAGTGAATGGGTAGGTGGATGGCAGCAAGAAGAGAAAGTAGGATTGCCATTGCTTTTCATAAGTGGGAGAATAGAGATATATATAAGGAGCGTGAGTTGGCAGACTTTTTCTATAAAGGGTTGGATGGAAATGGTTCTGTGAGCAGGTACCTGTGTTAGATCCGCAGCTCTGCCACTGTGGTGTGGAGACCACTTTAGATGTTGGCAAATGAGTGCATGTGGCTGTGTGCCAGCAGGACTTAATTTCACACAAGCTGATGCTGCCTCTCGAGTACTGGTCACTTTTGTACTTGGCCAGGCTCTGCTGCCCAGGTGCAGCGTGGTCAGGTCTGCAGATCTGATAGAACAAGTGGTTGTTTTACCTTAGTGGCTGAGGGAGGGAGGCCCTTTCTAGAGTCAGCACCCTGCATGCCAGCCTGTGTCCAAGCCTGTACAGGACATGCTGCCCACCAGGTTACAAGTGTGGCACATGGTCAGCCTCAGAAATGTGCAGCTGAGCCCAGCTTCTTCCTTGAGGTGCCTCAAGCGCCTGCTTGCTGAGTTCGGTCCCTTTTGAGGAATGGGATGAGAGAAGCAGCATACAAATACCCAGACTTCAGTTCTGTCATAAAGCAGGTGTGATGATGCTGGGCTGCTGTCTCACAGTTTCCACCTCGGGCTGAGACAGGACTGCCCATCAGGTGACCCCTAAAGGAAAAGGAGACAAGGGGGCTGGGCGGGCAGCACCCTGTCTGGAGTTTGGAAGCCCTCCTAATCTGGGGCTCCCCAGTGCCCTCCAACACCCTTCAGTGCAGCTCTTGGAGGTCAGCCGTGTAAGGAGCACTTGGTCCTCCTCTGCTCTGCTTCAGCATTCTGCCTAGGCAGCCTCATCCAGTCACTGCAGACTGCTGTTCTCTCCCCTTCCACCTCGCAGAGCTGTTAGGGCTTTTTCTGGTCTCTCTTGTTCCAAATTTCCCAGGAATGTGATGATTCCATGCTGGTGGTTTTCAGGTTGGGTTCTCTGTCAGCCCTCTCACATCGGAATACATGGGTAGGCGCTCATGCAGTGCCTGTCTAGAAGGTTCTCCCTTCTGTTCTCCACCCTTTCTTTGCAGATGCGGGTGGGTGCTGACCACCGGATGCATACTCTGACCATTGTGCCCGGGCTGAGGGCTGGCTTCTGCTTCCATGCCTGTACTGACTGCTTTGCTCTCAGATTTTCTTGGTCTATTGTTCCTGTCTCTGAGTGTCAGTTACTGTTGGGACCCGTAGGCTCACTTTTCTCCTCTACATTCTTCCTTTTCTCTCCTGTTTGTTTGTTCAGTCATCATTTGTGTTGTTTCTGAGTGAGCCATTTCTGCACGGAAATATCCAGTGGAGCCTGTGAACTCCCTGTAAGGTTGTGCTGAATGGAGGGGCTGTACTGTCACTGCCTCCCTACTCAGGGTAGTGCCATGGCCCTCCCCACTATGCCCAGCATTCCTCTGTCCACAGCCGCTCTGACCACATCTTCTGCAAGGAGGTGGTCTCCTCATTGCTTGTAGGATGATGTCCCTCCCCATCTCCTTCCTGGCTTCTAGAACACCACTGCCTGCAGCCCCTCCCCTCCCGCCATTGTGCTCTGCTGACTGCCCCCTGCAGGCACCCTCTCCAGGTGCCCCACCATGCCCCTGCCAGCCCCTTCCACATTCCAGGTCTAGTGGTGTGTGCTCTGCTGTCTTGGTTCCTGCCTTGCTTGCTGCTTTATCCTCATGGGTGTCAGACCTTAAGAGGAAAGGTGGCCAGCCTGTGGGTTTGGTTTTCTGATCCTCCTAGCTGTATGTGTCTGCATGTGTGAGTGTGCACACAGTGTGTACGTGTGTGTCTATGTGAATGCACGTGTCAGTGTGAGTGTACCTCTTTGTACATGTGTATATTTCTCTGTGTGTGTGTGTGTATGAATGTATGTGTGCAGGCACATGTGCACCAGATGTGCATGCATGTGTTGTGTCTGTGTGTGGATGTGCATGCACTTGTGTAGCTGTGTGTGTGCACGTGCACATGTGTGGATGAGGTGGAGGGCCTTCTCTCCTGAAGAGCTCTGCAGAGGAGGGCCTCTTCCTTTATCTGTGTCCGGTGTTTCCCTTTCTTCATTTGAACTTGGCTCCTGTGTCCTCCCCGAGTGTGTCATCTCTGGCTTTGGGGATGCTCAGGAAAGACATGCTTCCTCGCACTATTGCTGCCCAGATCCTCCTGGGTAGTTGTCTCCCTGCACTACCAGTGGCTATCACACGACAGCCCTCCTGCATGTGGGGCACCCCATGGTCTGACCTGATGTTAACCCTGCAGAACAGGTTTGTGTAGAAGGGGCTCCATACAGGCCTGTAACAGAGCTCGCCTTTCTGCAGCAGCCGCCAGTCTTCTCTGCCTCCTCTCCCGGCCTGCACTGACCATGCTGCCCTGAGTCTTCAAGGCTGGTAGTCACTTGTTGCCCAGGACCCCCTCTGTGCCTGGTTGTGCTGCTGCTATCGCTGTCCCATATGGCACTGTGTGTACTCACCTACACTCTTCAGTGGGTCACTCTGAACTCGCTGGGCCCATGAGTAGAGCCTGCCTCATGGGCACTGCCTGCCCTCCGTAGTATGCCCACTCTCCTCTGCACTGGTCAGTCATGCCCTCACTGATAATATTTTCATGCTTTCATGCCTGGTGATGGCATAAGGTCCATGGGGTACAGAGGGAGAAGTGTGTGCAAGGGGTCCATGGGTGCAGTGAGACCAGTGAATGTGTGACACAGAGTGGGTGCAGGGGTCAAGGTGGGCACAGGAAGAGAAGTGGACACGAGAAATGAGTTCAGAGGGTAGGGTTGGTGCAGGATGAGAGGTGGATGCAGGGGGAAAAGTGGATGCAGAGAGTGGGGTGAGCACAGGAGGAGAAGTGGGCACAAAGTCAAGGTGGGTGCAGGGAGGAGAAGTGGATGTAGGGGGTGAGGTGGGCACAGGGGTAGACATAGATGCGGGGGTTGGGATGGGTGCAGAGGGGAAGGTGAGCACAGGAGGCCAGGTGGGTGCAGATGGTGAGGTGGGTGCACAGGGGGAGAGGTGGGGCAGGGATGGGTGCAGGGGTCAGGGTAGGTGTGGGAGTTGGGGTGGGTCCAGAGGGGGAGGTGGGCAGTGGGGGTCAGGGAAGGTGCGGGAGTTGGGGTGGGTGCAGAGAGAGTGGGGGTCACAGGGGAAGAGGTGGTCACATGGGGAGAGGTGGGCACAGGGGAGAGATAAATGAGGGGATTGGGGTAGGTGCAGAGCGGGAGGTAGTGGCAGGGAGAAAGGTGGGTGTGGAGTTAGAGATGGGCACAGGTGGGGAGGTGGGTGTGGGGGGAGAAGTGGGTGCAGGGGGAGAGGTGGACATGGGGATCAGGGTGAGCACGGAGGTTGGGGTAGGCACAAGGGTGGGGGAGAGGGGCACAAGAGAGCAGGGTGGAATGCAGGGGTCAAGGTGGTGCTGGGGAGAAATAGGCACAGGGGTCAGGGTGGGTACATGGAACAGGTGGGGGCAAGTGGAGAAATAGGCGCAGTGGGTGAAGTGGGCACAAGGATCGGGGGAGGAGTGGATGCAGCGGTCCGGGTGGGTTCACGTGGTGTGGAGGTGCAGAGTATGATCTGGAATGGACGTTTTCAAACTGTTGCCCATGAACTACCAGAGTCGATATAAACTATACGCTTTGCAGAGTCACAAGTATGCTTGTGCCAGGGTGTTCAGGTTTTTGTTTTGTCTGTGATAGATTCTGTTTTTTATTTACTTCTGTATATTTATTACATTTTATTGCATCAGATGCATGAGGACTTTGGAGGATAGGGGTCACGCTCAGCCCTTCTTGACAGCCATGTACCTCATGGAGGCCAGGGCATTGCTGAGTTCTTCTCACTTCCTTTTGGCACGGATGTGTGTCACCACCCTTTTCTTGATGAACTTGAGGGCCTGCTTTTCCTTGGAGACCTTGAGCAGCTCCAAAGCACAGTGCTCACAGGATGTGAAGCTGTACACCTCCCAGATCATGCCCTGCACAAACATGGTGTGCTTAGTGAGGCACCCACGACACCTTTGCCTACCTTGCTTAATGTTCCTGGTTACTTGGTGGCCTTTATTGAAGCCCACGGCCATGGGGTGGTGCACAGCCCTGGCTGTTGGACTTCAATGGCTGCTGCATCCAATTTAAAAAAATTTTTATAGTAGGGATTTTCCTTCCTCCAAGCATGTTTTTAACTGCTTTCTGAGTGCCTTGAGAAGTCTCTTTTCACCTTCAGTTGCTTGGTTTGTACCCTTTCAGATACCCAAACACGGCTTGTGAGCTCCTGACCTCAGATGTGCCACAGATCAATGACAGACTTGGTGGGGACGAGGCCTTGCTGGACCTCCTGTACAGCTTCCTGACCCATGCGGCACCCCTCAACCCTCTGCTTGCCAGCTTTTTCAGCAAGACCATCGGCAACCTCATTGCACGGAAAGCTGAACAGGTGGGTCAGCTGAGACTGCATGATGTCAGCCAGCTTTGATCACAGATGTGTCATGTGTGCCATGAGACATTGGGAGGGAGAGAGAGTGTATACCTGTGTGGTGGTGCTAGTGGTCGCTTAGGATTTAAGTGAGTCCAGAAGGGAGCTGGTGGCTCTTCTCTCTGAGCAGACATAGACCTAGGAGTATACCTTTGTCACTCAGGCCCATAATATGTACACGGGGTGGTCCCTGACCAGGGACAGGCATTGTCCTTAGGCCCTGATTGGCACTTAGATTCTTTTCTGTCTTCTGCTTGTGTCATTGGTGACTGGCAAAATTATGTACTAATGTGTTGGCTTGTAGGTCTCTCCTCTATTTTAAAAAAAATTGTGTTTTTAACGAAAGTTTACAGAAAAGTTTGATTTTCATTCATTTATGGTTACACACTTTCCTCCATACCACTCTCCCAGTTCACTTAAAAAATAAATAAAATATTCATTGTTGCTCTCTTTTTCAAAAAACCCCAACAAAATAGAAAATATTTTCATTGTGATGTAACAGTGTACAGAGGAGATCACTTCCTTTGTGGAGTTTCTTTGCTGCTGCTCTGTCAGGTCGTCTTTCTCTGCACTTCTGGGTGCAGGCCTTTGCTGACCTTGTTCTGCAGCTTCTGCTTTCACCTCACACTTGCATTTTCTCCTTTCTAAGAGGATGTTTTTACGAGTACAAGTTCCAAGTTTAAGAAAACCAGTTCATTCTTCTTTTTTACACACACACACACACACACACACACACACACAGACACACGTTGTTGTTGTTGTTGTTATGTGCTGTTGAGTCGCAGGCGACTCATAGCGACCCTGTGAAGGAGAGTCCTCGACGCTTGAGTGCCTTTCATCCTCTCTCTAGGGTTTCCGGAGGCAAGCTATTATGGAAGTGGCCGCCACTCCTCCTTCCACGCTTGTTTAATCGGGGAGCTCCACCCCACTCTCAGTCCACACTGGGTAGCCAACCATTGACGCATTTGACACATCTGTGTTATATATATAATTGGTTTGTTTACAAAGTTTGTATACACTGTGCTTCACATTTTTCCTCGCTCACATTGTGTTTCATACAATCATTCTCATGCATTATGTTTTATAAAATTAATCACCATTGGACCTTGCCCATCATGACCCTGGCTTTTTGCCTGGATCCTTCCCATTTTCTTCCCCCCTGCCCGCTCCCTTCATTATTCTTTTTTTGTTGTTGCTGTGTGCCATCAAATTGGATCTGATTGGCACAGGAGGAGATTCCCCCTCCTTCTCCAGCAGAGAAGGGTTCGACCCGTGCACCTTCAGGTCATTATTCTTTTTATCTTTGGGATTTTTGTTTTGTTTTATAGTGGTGTATGTGTGTGAACTCTATTAAGAAACCTTTATCTGCCAGAAAGTCTATGAAGATATTCTTCCGTGTTTTCTTTCAGAAATGTTGTTTTACTTTTCCTGTTTAAACAATGCACCTGGAATAGATCCTTGTGAATGGCATAAGGGTGTAGTGTTTGCTTTTTAAATATATAGATATCTGGTTGATCCAGCAGCATTTCCTGAGAAGAGCATTCTTTTTCTGTTGCTTGACAGTGGCCTTATTGTAGTCAGGCGTCTGAGTCTGTCCTGGGCTCTGTCCTCTTGGTAATTGCACAAGTACAATGCTGTCTGTTTTTTAAATTTTTTTATTTTATGTTTTTATTAATTTCAATGAACATCTACAGAGATTTTGGGCTTCCATTCATTCATTGTTGCACTTTTCTCCCCGCCC